ACCCAAAAAACAAATAATAAATTTACTATTTCTTAATAATCTCTATCTAGTGATATACCAACGAGTTCAAAAAGAAAGCGATGAATTATTGTATACGGTCCGCAATCAGTTGTTAACATCTTGCGCTGGAATGACGAATTCTTTGTCCCAAAATTGCAACATTTTCTCAGTTTTAAGTGTATTTAAGTATAACCCAGGCAACAACCCAACAAATAATAAATTTACCACTTGTTAATAATCCCTATCCAGTGATATCATCGCCGACAAGTTCGAAAGAAAAAGAAAGCGACGAATTGTTGTGTACGGTTCGGCCGCTCGTTACGGTCCGCAATCAGTTGCCCAGCGCAAACGATTAAGGAGTTTATTACCATTGCCTCGTATCAGGCTTCAGGGCACGAGGATAATGATGAAGAGGTATCGAACGAAATTGATCGCATCCGCAATCGATCGTCGTGTACGTACCCGTGAGCGGCCTCCAAACTCTCGATGCTCAGCGAGTCGACGTAGACGCGAGGCGTGTGCAAAAGCCTCCACGTGAGCGGATTGAAAACAGAGGCACGATACTCCCACGAGATCTCCACCGCTTCCAGCTTGCCGACAACGTCGCCAGGCAGCACCACGGCGTGAGTGCTGCCTGGCTCGTAGTACATCGACTGAGAGCTCAGCGGCATCCTCTCCGACCTCTTCCCGTTTTGCCCGATGGCCTTGACCGCGAAAGTTCCAACCTCGCCGCCGTGATCGAGGCTCTCGTTCGTCCTCGAGACGTTGATGACGATTTTGTAATGACCCTCTGCAATGGAATTCATCGATGATGGTATCGTATATATATCGTACGAGTTGCACGAGGAGAGTCGTCAGAGAGGAGAATAGAATTGATCTACTAACTGCAGAATGGCTTGATGGAGCCGGTCATCAGGTAAACGGACGCGTGGTAGTTCCCTGGTTGCGCGTCCAGCCCGAACTTGGGACAGTATTGATTCGTGCAGTCGAAGCAGCCACCCTCGAGGAACTTGTCCCAGGAAACGCAGGGGACCGTCAGGTACGGGCAGTTCGTGTTGATGCTCTCGATGAAGTACTCGTAACTGCGGATGTGATTGCAGCTGACGAACCTCCTGATCCCTGGACAATTGGTCATTTGTCAATTTCACTCAAAGGGGCAGGTGATTGAAATTATTAGACTGCGGATTTTTAGTAGATATGAAATGATTTTGTTTCTAACCGTGCGTTACAATAATTGTTTTTCTAATCTGTGTATGAAGCACAAAAATCCATAGTTATGCTAGATAATAAATTGTATGTGAAAGTAATGTTGTAGTAAAAATAATGTGAAAAATGTAATAAAAATAACGGAAAGAAATAAAGATGTATGAAAATAATGTAATAAATGTAACAAAAATAACATAATAAAATAAAAATATACGAAAACAATGTAATGAAATATAATAATATGTAATAGTAGTAAATAATGTAATAAAAATGACGTAATAAAATAAAGATGTATGAAAATGTAATAAATGTAATAAATGTAATAAATGTAATAAATGTAATAAAAATAACATAATAAAATAAAAATATACGAAAACAATGTAATAAAAAATATAATAATATGTAATAGTAATAAATAATATAATAAAAATAATATAATAAAATGTAAAACATATAAAATACATAAAATACAAAATATAAAATACATAAATAAAATAAAATACAATAAAAATATAATAAAATAAATAAAATAAAATAAAAATAATATAATAAAATGTAAAACATAAAATACATAAATAAAATAAAATAAAATAAAATAAAATAAAATAAAATAAAATAAAATAAAATAAAATAAAATAAAATAAAAATAAATATAATAAAATAGAATAAAATAAAAATAAATAAAATAAAATAAAAATGTATGAAACTAACGCAATAAATGTAATAAATAATGTAATAACTATAACAAAAATAGCGTGATAAAACGAAGATGTATGCAAACGATGTGAGAAAAGAAAGACATTTGGACTTACCGCGAAAGATACTGCCATGTTCGAGGGTGATGGAACTGAGAACACCCTCGTTACAACCAGGCTGACTGCGGCCACCGTTTGGATAGAAATCGATGTGCCCGACCGGCTGAGTGATGCCGAAACCGCCACTGATAAAAGGATTGCAGTCGGTGTGGATGGCGGTGACGAACGTGGCGTCAGTTGGATCGAGCCGGACCATCGTTGACGTGTTGCTGAAATGCGGCTCGGCAGGATCGAGGCCTTGGAAACAGAGAAACCAGACGGACGTCAGAAACCTGAAACTCGTGCTATTCAAAACATAGGGTGGCCACTGAGAAACTAAAGGGTTTGAAAAAGTCACAAACTTGTTCATTTTCAATCTTGTTCTTTTTTAGGTAAGTTATAGAGCAATGATGGCGAGCCTATGACCTGCGGGTCAGACACAGACTTTTTAAATGACCCACGCGTTGATTTTTATAAACTTATCGTCATACATATAAAAGAATTTTAATTATTTTTCGAAACCCTCTTTTCAAAAAATGTTAAGAAAATTACAAGTGTTCGGTTAGAGCTTAAACGTGAGAAATAAATGCATAATTGTGTTTTATGGAGGATTTATGACTTAGTTATGTATACATATAGGTATCTTAGGTCTTAAATGTTATATGAGTTAGTTGTGTCCAAAAAATTTTATATCGCGCTTACGATTAAACAGATGTAATAAACACTAAGAAACACACTAGATCCCATTCTCAGAACGGGTAGCTTTGCTAGTTTTTTATATAATAAAAGAGAGAACAGACAATAAAAAATATTAATAAATAAAGTACATATATCTAATATATAGTGCAGGGGTGACTGGGCACGATGTCACCCCTTTTATGTCAATTTTTCGACGTCGACATTTATTTTTTGCTCTTCACTTGCAAAAGTAAAAGTTGTCAAACAAAAAGGAAACGTAAACTTTTTAGAGGATTATAAAAGTGAGAAC